GACGGATGCAGGGCAGCCCAGAGAAACCCGCAAGGAGGAGATAAGTTTAGTACAAGTGTTTATTGTCTTTTCCCCAAAGGGCACATACAAATCAGGCCGGACTCCAGCTCCTAGACGGAGTCCTAATGTTCACAGTTCACATGCGTTTAAAAACAGCTCTTCTACCAGTACCATTACATCGAAAAGCCAAAAATAAAAAAAAAAAAAAATCCCCTGGGATTTTCCACCGGCAGAATGCTAGTCCTCCAGCCGCCCCCCACCACTGCCACAGCCAAAACCAGACCAAGCTGCAGCCACGGGATTTAAGCCCAATTAAAAACCGCTTTGACTGCAAAGAAATGCTGGGACCAGCGCTTGCAGCGAAGCCTTTGTACCGCCCACAAAGAGTCCCAGCCCAGCAGAGCCGGCACACCGGGATGGGCAGAGCAACCTGAGCAGGAGTGGCAGGGAAAGCGGCGGCGGATGCAGGGCAGCCCAGAGAAACCCGCAAGGAGGAGATAAGTTTAGTACAAGTGTTTATTGTCTTTTCCCCAAAGGGCACATACAAATCAGGCCGGACTCCAGCTCCTAGACGGAGTCCTAATGAGGTTAGTTCACATGCGTTTAAAAACAGCTCTTCTACCAGTACCATTACATCGAAACATTAAAAGCCAAAAATAAAAAAAAAAAAAAATCCCCTGGAAGTTTCCAACGGCAAGTAATGCTAGTCACACGTAACAGGGACAGACAGCGTTAGGGGACCAAAGGGTATGTACAAGTTATCTTTAAAAGACACAGTGAGTCACTGCTATCAAGTAAGACCCCCTGGCTTGCCCGAGCGGGACAGCCTGGCCACCCTGGGGGTCTGCCCGGCTGCAGCACTGTTAGCCAAAGCAGGGAGGAAGGGATGGATAACCACCACCACCAGCAGCACAGGAGGCGGCTGCTAATTGCAATCACACAGGGAAAGCCTTTGCCCTCCCACAACGTGGGTACAGCCTTCGCGGTGAGGAAGAGCCCTGGAGCAAACCCAGCCCCGGCTAAGCCACTGCCATGGGGCAGAACATGGTTACGAGAGCTGAACTCGCCCTGGGTGGGGGGGAGAGGGACCAGAAGGGTGAGTGGGCAGGAAAACGCCCATCACTCTGTCCGCACCCTTTGGGCTGGGAGATCTGGGTCCGTCCCCAGTCAACGGGACGGAGCAGGGGCTCTCCCTGCCCATGGTGAGCAAGGGGCTGCTGTGGGGAAGGGGCATTTCCTTGCATCCTCCCGAGGTTCCCGGGGCAGCCCGCGCCGAAACGGGCAGCCACAAAAGATCCGGTTCAGCTCATGCTGGTTCCCAATGGCTCCTTGGCCCCCAGAGCTGCATCCTCGCTTAGCCTGAAGCCCTGGCAATGCCAGGCAAGCCAGGCACGGTGGCAGGAACATGCCCTCCCCTCCCTGGGACCGCATCCTGCCCCAGAGACACCTCAGTAGTCCCTAACCCTTTCCCAGGGGATTCGTGGTTACCCCAGGGCTGTCCTGCAGAAGGAGGGGAGCCTGCCCCAGCCCACACTGCTGGCCTGCCTGCCGTGGGGAGCCGAATCGCCAAAAAGAGCCTACAAACCAGCCAAAAACCTGCTACCAACATGCACGGCAGTAAAACCACGCTGGGACGGAGGCAGCGAGTTGAACCGCGCCTCTGCCCCGCAGAGAACTCACAAAACCCAGAAGCAAAGCAAAGGAAAACCAGCAAGGCCAAAACATCCCTAAATTCTACAGCCTCCGAACCTGGGGTGGCTCCGGCTGGAGGGGGGGTGGTATCGAAGGGGGCATGGGGAACCGGCTCTGCCCGTGCGGAGCAGGAGCGCAGCAGAGGGGAGCAGGGTGTCACCGTTGGGGGGTGGCAAAGCCGCTGCGGGGGCCGGGAAGGGGCTGGGATCACTAGTGGTTGGTACTGCATTGCTACGGGAGTGAAGGAGCCGCTGCCCCGGACCCCTCCCTGAGGGGCTGGTGCTGGGGGCAGCCCGTGGTCCCAGGCTTTGCGCTCCAGGCAGAGGGAGCTGGAGAAGGCTCCCCTCCGTGGTGTAAAACATCCCCGAGCTGGTGCAGATGGGAAGGGAAAGGAGAAGCCAATGCAGGGGCGTGAAGCGTCTCTGGTCTTGCCGGCACACCGGGAGCCCGGCCACGGTGCTGCCCCGCTGCCGGATGGCGTTCGGCCCCGGAGTCGCTGTCAGCCGTAAGGCAGGAAGACTTGAGACCAAGCAGAAGCTGCCGAGGAGGAGAGGAGGGTGCACAGAGCACGTGGGGGGCGCGGGGCTCCCTACCGCCGGGCGGGGGCTTGTCCTCTGGCTGCTGCCATCGGGCTTCCCACCGCGTCTTTTCCAGGTGTCTTTGGTTTCCGTTACAGAAACGCCGGTGGCATTTTCTCCTCCCGTGAGCTGCTCGGGGCGAGCGCGTTAGGCTGGGAACTCGGTGCTGTGGTGCCTGATGTGCTCATCGGTGACGGACAGGTAGGTGGCTCGCATGCTCGTAAGGTCAGAAGTAAGATCGGCCCTTCCACCCTGTCTGCGCGCGGCTGCGGGGACACACCCCCCCCCCCCCCACCCACCCCAACCCCTGCCCCGCCACGTGCCGCTGAGCCGCCAGAGAAAGCCCGAGGATGGAGAGGGAAGATCGCTTCCCATTTGTATTAATCCCCAATTAATCTGCCAGGCAGCATGGGTAAGGGGGGCAGACCCTGGTCACAGCCTCTTCGAGGGCTGGAAGAGAAGAGACCCCCCCCCCAGCCAGGAC